CAAGTGCCACGCTACTAGGAGCAAGAACGCTACTAGGGGCTCCTGGCCGTACTACTAAGACTGGTAACAAGAAGCTAGTAGGAACAAAGGAATAACAAGAACTGAAAAAGCAGAGACCCACCTCAGTGTGTTCTTTCCTCATTGCGCTTCATTGCACCATTGCAGAGCTTGGATGGAGTGTGTTTGTGCTAAGATCCTGGTCTTGTGCCTTTGCTTGCTATGGCACACAATTCAGACCTGGTTTGGTGATGGTTCCAATTTCTCTTTGATGGCGCCCAAGTCCTATCGTGGCATTGTTGCCACTCCTTCACATCACCATAGGATTACCTTGAACATGTTTCTTCATGTGCCTTGGATCAAGAAGCTGTCTCTAAAGTTTGTGACCGCCGCGTTTTTTTCAGTGATTGCATCATGCTACGTGGCACAGTTTAAGCCCAAAGCCAAGGATGTTGCCATTATCATGCTTTTTTGCAGCTGTTGGCTACGCAGTTCCTCGGAGAAATCATCCCAATTCGTGATTGAATTCGAGAATTGACATCCCCCCGGCCCAGATTGGCATTGTTAGATTCTTTAGGACTCTTCTTGATTCTTGGCTAAGCTTTCTGCAAGGGCGATATGCTGGCCTCATGGTGTATGGCTTGCCTAACTTGGGGACGAGCCTGTGCTCAGGCGGCGTATTCTCAACAAAGATGGCTTTGTGTGCCACATGCTGTAGAAGAAATTGCACCTGGCCCACCCAGCCCGCAGAATGGGGCTTTGTTAGCAGCTGGGAGTCTTGGCCTGATTATGCTGAGATGCTACTGGGAGCTGGAAAAAAGCGATGGCCAACCTGATGTACTTCGTAAATGCAAGGTCCAACCGACGGCCATTCGAGATCTAAGGCTCTATGGGGCGAATATCGCCTACAATGTGATCAACAAGCGCGTGCTGCTGGCCCATCCACATCCTTGTTTGGCTCCTCGCAAACTAGTAGTAACAAGAAGCTATTAGTAACAAGTGCCTTACTAGTAGTAACAATGTTCGCTACTAGTAACAAAGGGCATCGCTACTAGGAGCAAGGACGCTACGAACGGGGCTCCTGGCCTTACTAGGAGCAAGAGGACGCTACTAGGAACAAAGGGCATCGCTACGAGAAGTCACTGATCCGATCAGCCAAGGTCACCGGCATCAATTTGCTCTCTTCATCACTTTGCTGCATAGCGTGCTGGATGTTTGGTGTTATGCGTTTTCCTCGCACATTGAATTGGTCTTTCTACTTGCCACTGGGCAAAACATCTTTGTTCTGAAAGGTCGGGCCTTCCGTTTAATGAAAGGTGATTCATTTGTGAACACGTACCTCCGTGAAGACCAGTTTAGGTCCAAAAGCCTGTTGCCCCACCACTTGTTTTTTTTGTTTGCTTTTAACATCCTTGATTTGTTTGCATTTAGATACATTTTTTCTTGCTTTGTTTCTCCCTGTCTTGTAGACGCAAAGAAACCTCGTCTCCCTTTATTTCTCCAAGTGTGTTGCACAGAATCCGAACGTCTACACTGAATCCCACTCACCCAGAAGCCCCTAGTAGCGATGCCCTTTGTTCCTAGTAGCGTCCTCTTGCTCCTAGTAGCGATGCCAGGAGCCCCTAGTGGTGTTCTTGTATCCTTTATCAACGCCCCCCCCAAGGAATCGATGGGACTTTCCACCCCTTCCAGCCTTCCTCAGGAAGTTGATGGGGTTGGCAGTGCTACATTGGAGCGGCATGCTGTTCTCCAACATCTCAGTATCTGAAGTGCACATCTCTTTCACTCACACCGTCAAGGCACGCAAATGCACGAAGTTGATTCTTGTACCTCAGGGAAGATGTGCTCGGAGAAGAGGACAAAAGGAAGAAATTAGTTGAAGGTGGCTGAACATGTGAGGCCGCCGAACCCTTTTTCACTGCGGTTTTCACTGCGGTGCTCATTGGGAACAAGCCCACCATCCGCCGCTGGACACAAGTTGTGTGGTCCACGACATGTGTTTGTTGTTGCTCCCAGGAGCCGCTTACCATAGCGATGCCCTTGTTACTAGTAGCGATGGCCTCCAACCTACTTGCAATGGCCTCCACCCAATAGCGTCCTTGCTACTAGTACTGTAAAAAAATCTTTTCCGGTTTGCCCAGTGTGTTTGAGATTATTGGGGAGGCGCTTGGATGAGCTTGTTGGTGGTCATTGCGGGCATTGTGGTCGCTTCCACTGCTGAGATCTCGCAGCTTGGACGCGCTTTGTGTTTAGAGATTTCTGTTCACACTTGTTCTCCCTCAAAATCACCTTGAAGAATGTCAAAAGAAGCGGAACAAGGGTGAGCGTGATGCAAATACATGTACCTTGTGAATGAACAATTGCAACAGTGGTACGGGTTCGATGCACCCTGGATGTCTTTGTGTCGAGACCAACCCAGAAAGCATATTGCTGTTCCTTTCTTGATGTGCCCAGGAGCCCCTAGTAGCGTCCGATCGCTCCTAGTAGCGATGCCAGGAGCCCCTAGTAGCTTCTTGTTCCTAGCAGTGCCAGGAGCCCGTAGTAGCGTCCCTCTTGATGTTCAAACAGTTTCCGGCCTGCGCAGTCTCCTCCGTGGACTCATTCGCCAGGTTTACTTGGCGTGGCTTTTGGGCGGCCATGATGCCCAACGTGGTGGTGGCATTGAGGAGACGGCGACGAGAGCGCATTCGCTCCCAGAGTGCGTGAGAGAGGGTTAACAGAAATTTATGTTTATCATATGTTGTGTTCAACAATGTCTTCCGCTAGACCTTTCAATCAAATCATTTTGGCCTATTATTATCATTGTTATTATCATGTTGTTCCTCCCTCCCTTCCTCCCTTCCTCCCTTCCTCCCTCCCTCCCTCCCTCCCTTCCTTCCTTCCTTCCTTCCTTCCTTCCTTCCTTCCTTCCTTCCTTCAAGCTAGCTTCATGAAGCTCAAAAAAGCATGAGTTCAATGGCATCATCCGCAGTGATCCATCTATCACTTGATTGTGACTTAGCATTCCGACCCGGTTAGCCTAAAAAGACGGGGGAGTATTGTTTTGTGTTTCGTTGCGCAGTCTTCGGCGAGGACTGTTCTCACGAAGATGGCCATGGACCGACACGTTCTTGAACCCTTGAATTTCCAAGCTCTTCTGCAGTGTGCGGCATTCATCGCTCCTTCCCAGATTTAAAGTTAGATTAAATAGTTAGATTATATTAGATTGGATGTGATTGGCCAGAGTTTTTTGACTTTGCATAGCACTAAGTCCATGCTTGAAAACCTGTCCCCAGGTTTCAATCCCCGTAGCCCTGCTCTTCAATTTGTCGCCCGGCTGGGTGAAACGGCAACCCATGATGCACAAAGAGACGCGAAGCCCTTGCTTAGGCATGCGGTGCGAGAAATCGCACAGGACACAGCGGCTTTGCCTTCAATACTCCTGATAGGACCACTGGCGCCTTCCTTAGACTTGGATTGCCCCACATGCACTTGTCACAAGGTCTGACAGGTTTACGACATCCTGGGATCTCTCAGTGGTGATTGTTTTGCTTCTTGTTCCGTTCGTAGATGCCCTTTGCTCCTAGTAGTACTGTCAGGAGCCCCTAGTAGCGATGCCAGGAGCCCCTAGTAGCGAACATTGTTGCTAGTGCTTCAGGTTTGGACCTTCAACGTTGCATCGATTGTGATTCTCGTTCACACCACTACGGTTGTGCACTCAATGATCCGATCAATGCGGAGACCTCTACTGGTTCTGGCGTCCATCATCACGTAGCTTCGGCGCAAGGGGCTGTTCTAACATCGCACGAGTAGAATTGGTGGAGTCCACAAGTGCTTGTTCGCTACGAACCGAGCATTCGTCAGGTTTGGAACTAGCATCACTCATTTGAACGCGCTCGGGATCATGTTCACGCTCTTCGGCGCCTTCTGGTATCGCTATGAAAATGAGATGGTGAGAAATGGTCAATCTGGATCACTCTCCAAGATCCCCCCGACAAACCTCAGACAAGCTGAGGCAAAATGCAATCCCATAAGGCCATGAGGCAATCGACTTCAGGTCCACCAGGATGCCATGCTTCACCCAATGTGTGAGACGACTTGCTTTTAGAGACATTTTCAATCCACCTAGGTCACTCAGTGACTTAGTACACACCTAGGTCTCAGTCTGCCTCATCTGACTCTTTTCCCAACTTCTGTCAGATGAAGTTCCATGAATTTTTTGTGAAATCTTGCAATGCGTTTGCAAAATGGTGCTGGAACAGCACAAACCCAAAACGAACAGCACAGCGCTGCAGTTTCACAGCCTCTTTGAGGCAACGAGGCCTCAGCGGTGAACTCTCGACCCATAGAGCTGCCAATTGGAGCTTGACGGAGTGGTTCCATGTTCGGTAAGCCTAGCATGTACTTGGCTTTGACCATTCAAAGATCAAAATAATTTTATTATGTGTTAGTTTTTTCAGATGGAATGCTCATCTAACATGATTGTTCGAGCTCTTTGGACCCTGTGGCAGCTTTGAGAAATCCGTGCATTTGAGCAACCTCAAACTCACCCTCATGCCGCAAAGGGAACCGAAAAGGGTGTTTGCTCACTCTTAGGTTGGAGGGCGTCACTATTAGGCTGGAGGCCATCGCCATTAGTAGCTACTTGTTCCTAGTAGCGTCCTTGTTCCTAGTAGCGATGCCAGGAGCCCTAGTACCGTCTTTGCTCCTACCCCCCCCCCCCCGCGCCCACGCGCGCGCGAACAGGTCCCTAGTAGCCTCCTTTGCTACTAATTACACTTAATTCTAATTAGATTCTATTCTAAATTTTGTTTCTAGTAGCTTCTTGCTCCTAGTAGTAAGGCCCTTTGCTCCTAGTAGCGAGGCCCTTTGTTCCTAGTAGCTACTTGTTTGCTTGTCCAGTTTGTATCCGTTCGTTTTGATCCTTTCGGAGCAACCTCCAGAGAGCAACGAGGACGCCTTTGGGCACCTCGAGCTTAACCAAAAGCCGTTTTTTCCATAGCTGGTTTGCCTCCGGTTTTTGAACTTTACTCTTTAAAACTGAGTTTGAGGTGCCCCATCAACCTTGTTTTGTTGAGACTATGCCGCAGCTTGCTAGGGCTTTATGGCTAGCAGGTGCTCACAAGTAGCAAGTAATATTGAAAATCTCCTTCAACCCCTTCATTCACAAAAAATGTGGGGCTGGATTGAGCATGCAGGGATATTTGGAGCATGATGGACATGCTATTACAAATTTGAACACAAAGGACGGAGATGACAATGGCAGATGACAAGGGTCTTGCAATTGATGCCAATTAGATGTATGATTTAGTACAAGCTCCATGTCCTTCTACTAGTCTGCCAGTCTCATGTGTTTCCTAGCCCCTTGCGGACCTTGCGGACCTTGCGGACCTTGCGGATGCATGTTTTGATGCGACTGTGGCTGATCGACATTCTCATCTCGCCAGTTCTGGCCATCCAAGGGGTGAGCCCTGCGGAAGTGACACGCTATCAGGGGCAAACCTTCGTTTGCGAAGAGGGGCCACTTGTTGGAAGGTGTCCACCTTTGTGTCTAAGACGCCATCGATTTCTGGTTCTGGTTTTTTGTTGGTGTCAATGTTGCCTGGTCCTCTAATGTCTTTACCTCT